AGTACGGACAGTCCCCCGCACTTGGCGAAAGGGTTCTGCCTGGGCACATCCAGGGAGGGCCGATGTGGACCAGCAGACCGTGTGTAAGCGTTTCCTGCTGCCCGGTACTCCGTCCGAGATCCTTTATCCAGTTTTCTTACGCTTTCTTTTGATGGGGAGAGGGCACGGTTGGGAATACTTTTCTGGAAAGGTAGCAAGAGCCAGCATTATACCTAAGGTTTTAAAAAAAGAAAAATAACTGAGTGATTTCAGGAACATGTAAAAAGCACTTTATTTAAATGTCTTACTTATAGATGCCTAAAATTTCACCTGGAGTTAGGCAAGGGATGATAACGAGGTTTCAGATCATGGACAGCTCCTTTCCACTGGTGGTCACTATCTAGTGTGCCATTCTAATGATGCACTGCCGTCTATCAAACCATCACAGAATTTAGGGGCTTAAAACAACAATAAACTTTTTTTTCTAATCCTCACCTGAGGACATTTTTCTATTTATCTTCAGATAGAGTGGGAGGGAGAGAGAGAGAGAAAGAATCATCGATGTGAGAGACACATCAACTGGTTGCCTCCCATACGACCTGGACCAGGGCCAGGGACGAACTGCAACCAAGGTACGTACCCTTGACCAGAATCAAACCCACGACTCTTTGGTCCGCAGGCCAATGCTCTAACTGCTGAGCCAAACCAGAGAGGACAACAATAAACATTTTATTGTGACTCTTGGTTTCTGTAAGTCAGGAATTGAGGAAGGGCTCAGCTTGGTGATTCTGGCTCCGGGTCTGCCCTGTGGAACAATCACACAGCTATTGGGGCAGTGGGGTTTGGGAGCAGCTGGGGACAGACAGAGCATCTCTCTCTCTGTCATTTTAGCCAAGAAGGCAGAAGCTGCATCATCTTGTATGACCTAACCTTGGAAGTCCATCAGAATTGTTTCTGCTATATTCTGCTGGTTACAAGTGAGCCACAAATCTGTCCAAATTCAAGAGGAGGGAAGTTAGACTGCACTTCTTGGTGGGAGAGCAATAAAGTTGTTGGGAAACACATAGGATGGGGAATGTAGTCATGGCCATGTATGAGAAATGCCACTTGCTACAGGTGCTTTACTGAGAAGGACTTAAAGACCACACTGAAGGTGTATGGCTGTAGGTGTGTGTGGCAGGAAGCGACAAGCGATGGGGCCCTGTGTTGTGCATTTGCTCTCCCTGCATTACACACTTTCTTCTCTCTAGCCCTTTTATAAAATGAAAGTGCTCCTGCTAATTATAATGATGGATTATTTTCTTCTTTGACAGTACAGATAAAGTCTGCAAACATAAAAGCAAAACAAAACAAACAATCCAGGGTGACTTAGAGAATTGAACAGAGGAAGTGAGTATGTGAAAAAGGGTTTGGAAAAAAATCCCCAAAGGCTGGCTCTGAATGTCGTAGGCATTTACGGTTGTAAGGGTCACAAAATACTCAGAATATCTGTATATTTTGGGGGTGTAGATTGTAGTGGGGGTAAACTTCTTAGACAGAAAAAAAAACACCAAATAATAAAGTATGACAGAATGCTTTTACATAGAAATTAAAAGCTTCAGTCTGGCATAAGAAAATGTTTTTAAAAAGTCAGAAGACAACCAAATAGGCTGGGGGAAAATGTTTGCAATACACATAGCAAAAGATTATATTTCAAAGAGCTTCTAGTAGATGTGTCAGCAAGTTATAAATAATCCCATAGAAAACGGCCCAAGGATATGAACAGACAGTCCACAGAAAAGACGGGGAAAATGTTCAATAAATATGAACTTCAGTCATCTGGGAAATATAAATCAAACAAAAAAGAGCTACCATTTTTAATCATTAGATTTCAAAATTAAAAGTATTGATAATGTCAAGTGCTAGTTAAGGTATGAGAAACACATGCATCGTCGATGTGATTTGATTGTAAATTGCTGTAATTTATAAAAGTAATCTGGCATTTTTATTAAAATTGAAAATGCATATATCTTTAACACAGCAATGTACACCTTTGAAAATGTATTCAACAGAAAAAATTGCATATGAATGTATATTAAATGTCCATAGTTGCATATACATGTTTGTATTAAAGAATTTTTATTATGGCAATTTTATATTTACCAAAACTAGAAAAAATGAAGGTCAATAAGGTAGTGATTGAATTCTTTAAGTTATGGAATTTAGTCTATAGAATATTATGTAATCAACTAAAATAATGAGGTGTATTTTTACAGACTGTCTTAAATATATATCAATACATAATAAAGAATAATATGGCCCTGGCCGGTTTGGTTCAGTGGTTAGAGCATTGGCCTGCGGTCCAGAGAGACCCAGGTTCAGTTCCCGCTAAGGGCATATACCTCGGATGCAGTTTGTCCCCAGCCTTGGTTGGGTTGTGCGGGTGGCAGCCATTCGATGTGTCCCTTTCACGTCAATGTTTCTCTCTCTCTCTTCCCCTCTCTCTCTCTCACTCTGCCTGAACAAAAAATGGAAAAACGTCCTCAGGTGAGAATAAAAAAAAATAATAATAATATATATATATGTATATATATACACATATATATTATGTACACATACATATTATAGGTGATAATATAAAGTATGAAGAAGATGGTAAATATATACACATATGTTTTTTTTTTTTTTTGTTCAGGTAGAGTGGGAGGGAGAGAGAGGAACAGAGAGAGAGAGAAACATCGATGTGAAAGGAACACACCGAGTGGCTGCCACCCACACAACCGACCTGGGCCGGGGACAAACTGCAACCGAGGTACGTGCCCTTAGCGGGAACCGAACCCGTGTCTCTCAGGACCGCAGGCCGACGCTCTAACCGCTGAGCCAAACCGGCCAGGGCTACACATATGCTTTTTAAACAAAGGCAGTATAGCCCTGGCCAGGTTAGCTCAGTGGTTAGAGCGTTGGCCCACGGACCAGAGAGTCCTGGGTTTGGTTCCCACTAAGGGCACGTACCTCGGTTGCAGTTTGTCCCCGGCCCTGGTTGGGGTTGTGTGGGTGGCAACCACTTGATGTGTCTCTCTCACATCGATGTTTCTCTCTCTCTCTTCCCCCCTCTCTCCCTCCTGCTCTATCTGAAGATAAATGCAAAAATGTCCTCAGGTGAGGATAAAAAAATAAATAATAAATAAATAAATAGAGGCAGTCTAGAGGGACTCATTTGAAATTGTTAGTAGGATTAACAAAAGATGATTAGTGCCCATTTGAGGCAATATGGGAAGCAAAACAATTTTACTTTATAAATGTCTTTATCTTGGGAAATGTTTTTACAAGCATGTATTGCTGTTTGATTCAAAAGACTAAAGAAAAAGAAAAGGCCATTACATGTGGTGGCTAACCAAGCTCCTGGTATAAAGAAATAGCTGTTGAATGAATAAATAAATGCTTTGGATCTGTCCTCTCACTTCTGCAAGTCTTTCTGCTTATAAGTGTCCTGGGATTTCTACTTTTAAACCATTTTTTTTTTTTAAATTGTAGGGCTAATACTTTTTGTTCTTCCCACAAGGAAGGTTATTCCAGCAAATCAAATTTCTATTTTGATAACTCAGGCCTACATAGTATCATCAAAATAATTCTAGTGAAAACCCCACCAAATGACTATAACTGTCTCCAGTGCTTCTTCATTTAGTGGGAGCAGCAAAGATTTGCAGCACAGATTTTCTAACTTCATTTAGTTCTCTGCCAAAATTGACGAGAAAATTCTCATTTAGTACAATTATAAGTCTTTATTGCATTTCATTACAGAAGGTTTTCCTTAAGGAATAGAACTTTGTGAGAAAGACTAATTTTCTGGAGAGATTTACAAAATTATAGCACCTCATCCTTTTGAAAACTGAATTTGAACAAAATGCAAGCACAATTTAAGATTTAATTTCCTGCTTTGGAGCACCTCATCATAGGTCTATCAATGCTCGCAATACACCAAGTAAGATTCTGTGGGGTAATTTTTGTTTTTGGTTTTTTTTTTTGTTAATTCTCACCCGAGGATATTTTCCCATTGATTTCAGACAGAGTGGAAGTGAGGGAGGGGGATGAGAGAGAGAGAGAAACATCCATGTGAGAGAGACACATCCATGTTTGCCTCCCGCACAACCTCTACTGGGGCCAGGAATGAAACCTGCAACCCAGGTATGTGCACTTGACTGGAATTGAACCTGCAACCCTTTAGTCTGCTGGTGGATGCTCTAAGCTAAACCGATCAGAGCAGATTCCATGTTATTTTTATTATCTAGTACAGTAGCTTAATTTTTGATGAAATAGAATTCACATGATTATCTCTATTTGAACCCGGGTGGTCACTACCTGCATGCATTCTCAAGGGAGAAGGGGAGAGGTGCTTCGTCAACATTGTAGCCTTTCTATTATGCATCCAAAGCTCCTGTTCCTAGTATCTCCAGATCAGCCCTCACAGCGCAAATGGGAGCAGGATCTTGTCTGTGGACACCGTGTGAACCTAGGCCTCCCCTCCCGGGCTGCTCTGCGAAGGCAGCTCACCCACTAACAAAAAAACATCCCAGGCCCGGCTGGTGTGGCTCAGTGGACTGAGCGTGGTCCTATGCACCAGGAGGTCACAGTTCTGATTCCCAGTTGGGGCACATGGCCAGGTTGTGGGCTTGATCCCCAGCAGGAGTCATGCAGGTGGTGGCTGATCCATGTGTCTATCTCTCTCTCTTCATCTCTCTGAAATCAACAAAAACATTAAAAAAAAAAAATCCCACAACAAACTTCTTTCCCAACTCCTGTGTACCTGTCCTAGCCTGCATATGAGGCAGGAAGGCGGTGCCCCCTCAGCAAGGGATCATTCATTTTATTCTCCCACCTGCAGACGGGTTGGGAGGGTTATGCCCACATGGTAGCGATGTTTACGCAATAGAGGCAGGAACACCTCAGATGGCTTTGAGAGTGTTTGGTAACAGGAAATATGATACAATAAGAGGGTTTTGTGCAGATAGGAAGCTTTCTCAGGGGACTGGGGTGCAATTGAGCAAGTCTCGTCATCTGCCAGAAGGAGGGCACACGCAGCCCTCCCATGACAGTGACTGGCAGCCGGCAGGGAGCTCGGAGCAGAGGGAGCAGCAGACTGCAAACTGCGCATTGTTCTCTGGGGACAGAAATTTTTCAGAGATCGGGACTCAGAGGGAACCACTTCGGTTTTGTGTAATAGAGAGGGAGACAGAGCACAGAAAGGCAATTGGTACAGTTTTCGTGTGTAAGATCCAGACTTGGAACAATGGCAGGAAGCCTGGAAAGGGATACTGGCATCCAGTGTCACATAACGAGGAAATGACCATTTCAACGAGATCCTCCTGATACAGAAGAGGAACAGAGCTCAATGCAGGTGCCAAACAAAGGAGGAAAACAAACAAAAAACAAACCCAGGCCTGACCAGGTAAAAGATAATTCCTTTAACCATATCTGGCTAATGATTTTACTGATTCCTAATGAGGAGGAATTGAAAGTTAATAGAAAAACCACAGGATGTTTAATTTGTAGTTTCAATACATTAGCAAATGGATTCATGCTCCAGTTACTTTTTAAATAAGCTTTATGTAATTCTCGTCTGTGTGTGTGTGTAGACCTCATGGAGGCTGTCTCAGTCCAGAGGGTCCTGCAGGTACTGAACCCGTGATAGAGAAATCACAGAGTTATGTCCATGGGTGCTTTGCCCGAAGGCTGCCCTCCCACCCCCGCCAGTGGGGCTCCCCTGCGCTGCCCAGTGATCCTCTCAGATTTGGTCATTACATGGCTCCGCTGGCCATTCTCCACCCAGGTGCTGGGCCAGAGAAGGTCGGGAAGTGAGGAAGCCACACACTGGTAATAGCTAGACCACACTGGCTGACATTTGAGGACATGTCACCAAGTCCAATCCAAATCACATTTGTATGTTCTCTAAAGCAAAGTTTTAAAAACTTCGTATTAATTACAGATTCTGATTCATCGGTGGGTCTGCATCAGGACCCAGATATTGGCCTTTTATATAAAAACTTCCGGTGAACCTGAAGCAGGTGGTCCGTGGCCCACAGTTTGAGAAACACTGCTTTGAGGATGCTCTGACTCCTGAGCTAAAGAATTTGCAGATTTACCGGAGGATAAGCCGTTGACATTTCAGGCCGACATTTCCAGTCTGTGTAGCAATGAGCTGAGATGCAGGTGTTGTCAATAAGCAGGTTTTTTCCGGCCCGGTTGGCCGTCACTCTTCAGGCTGCCGTAAGCATTTTCCGCACCTTACAGTGATTTCCTTCTTGGGATGTCAGCTCCGACTGCTATAAATATGGAAAGGGGGAAAAGGAGACTTTTTCCTGCAGGTTAAAAATAATACCCCAAGTTCAGCTTCTCTGCCAAACTACAGAAATGAATGAAAATAAAAGCTCAAATAGGCAGAAAAGGGTACCACTGCATGGTAAAAAGGGGCTACGGAATAGTGAAAAAGTCAGCACAATGCACTGTGGGAAAGAGAGGGGTCAGCCCTCAAGGCGCAGCGGTAATCTGAAGGCCCGCAGGGGTCTGTTCTCTGCGCGGCGAGTATGGACCGCCAGAGCTTGTTTGGAGGTCCTAGCAGAGGAGCGCAGCGACTTGTATAGTCCTCACTGAAAAACAGTCCTCTCCGGTGTGGAGGAAGGTCGTCCTCTTGGACCAAGTGCACAGCTTGGGGAGGGACACTAGCCAAGCCAGCCAGATCGGCAGAATCCACCCTGGCGATCAATGGTTTCACAGCAGATCACCCTCACATCCTTATTTTAGCCACTTAAGTTAACACCATGGGTAAGTACTAGCCTAGGGTTTAATTTTTTTTTTCCTGAGTGTATATTTACAATAGAAAAATATTTTCTTTGATGTGCTCACAGAAATAAGAAATCAGAGTTCTTCTGAAGAGACCATAGAAGGACCCGAGACAGGATACTTTATGGAGATCACGCTTCTCTCGGAACTTCCATATGGTGGGAATCAAGATTTATCCTTCTTGACCTCTAGGTCTATGATGGCTGTTTTCAAATTGGGGTGTCCCCAAAAGAAGGTAATTCAAGGCTGATTTTAAAATTCTTTCCCACCTCCTTCTAATATCATTGATGGTAAAGTCAACTCTTGATGGTTACCGTGACTCTGACGTGGCTTAGTGAGACCTCACGGACAACCTGAACCTCAGCTGCAATGATTTGTTAGCAGTCGGTACTCGGCTTGAATTTATCTCCTCCATTCATTCTGGGATGAAGATGCTGATAAGCAATGAGGAACAAGACACCACTAAAATGATGCAGGTGGGAGATAGATAAGATACAAAATGCCAGAAAATGTTCTGATTCCTGACCTTGGAGATCTAAGTGATCTCCTGAAGGTACCTCCCTGTCTCCCACCTCACACCTACACTGAGCCAGCTCCGTGCTAGGTACGCACAGTAGACCCTTACTAAATATTGCCTAGAAGTCAACATGTACTCTATCAGCATTAAGTAATCATAGAATTAATATCCATCTTTCTTTTTAACCCACCTCATGTCAATCCACATGTTTAAAGTCATGTCTACCTGACTTTAAACATGTGGATTGTGGTTTAAACATGTGGTTTAAAGTCTACCTGGAGTGAGAGAGTAGCCACGTGTACTTCAGGACAGCACAGCAATTTCATGCCACGCCTTCTTCTTGGTCCATGTCAACAGTCTGTGTACAGAGCATCAATGTCTAGGTGACTGTGGAAAGCACTTTGGGGGCGATATGAGGGTAAAGAGAAAGGAAAGAAAGAGAGACTAAAAAGCATTCTGTTTGAGGGGGAAAATATCTGTGTTCAAAACAAAACAGTTCCTACCACCTAATGTGTCTTGATCATTTCACGTCGCTCACTTTCTTGGGCCTCAGTTTCCTCACCTGTGAGATGAGAACAATATCTACTTTGATGCTTGCCCTAACGGTCAAATGAAATAATTAGGGTTGCCAGATTTAGCAAATAAAATAATGTCAATACAAGTATGCCCATGCTATATTTGGGACACACTAATACTAAAAAATGATTTGTTATTTATCTGAAATTAAATTTACCTGGTGTCCTGCTTTTTCTGGCATTCCTAGAAACAATATGTGATAATAGCAGCCATTTGTCTAGTGCCTTTCATGTGCCAGGCACCGCTAGGTACCTCAATTACACTGGTCATCATTCTAACCGTGGCTGAGGCAGTTATTACTAATCTCATTCTGCATTTAGGATGTGGAAGTTTTCCAAAATGAAATAGCCAGGAAATGGCAGTCAAGATTAAAATCCAGTATATCATGCTGTTCTTTAGTTGATGAAAGCACTTTAAATTTGGAAAGTACCCAAGTGTTTATCATGACAAATGGTCTCCGTTGATTACTCCTATCCTGGGTACGGCAAAAGGGACTCTGGAGAGAGAATGGGAATATGGAGATTAAAAGAGGTCATCAAGTGTAGGGAAAAGTCTGCATTTACAGCCAGTAGGAAAAAGTCTGTATTTACTGCTCAGCTTCCAGGATGATGGTCCCTTGCCAGGAAATCGGTTTCTAGGGACACCAAGGAGAGGGTGCAGGGGCTCTGTAACAACATCGCAGTGTGTATGCTACACATGGGATTTTCTACTGCCAAACCCATGCCTGAGCAGAGATTATTCACTAACCGGGCCTTAAAAAAAATTAATTATATAAGTAACCATATTCGTATTTTTACTTTCTTAGTAACCTTTCAAATAACTAGAATCCCAAGTGAGATCTGTTACACACACACACACAAATGCACACCACATACCCTAATAAACATTTTGTAGCAACACCTGTAACACAAAAAGATACACACATTTCCATCAGAATAGCTTTCTATAGGGGAACAGTGAAAAGGGAATTGGCCATGAGAACTAGAAAACGAGCAAACAAATAAATAAATGTTTCAATTAATTTTTAATGGCACACACGCTCACACGCGCGCGCACACACACACAAACCTTGGATAAGTTGGTTGATGATAATGTGCCATGAACTGAGTACAAATAGTTCAGCAACCTGAACAGGACGTCCTCGAGTAAAATGTACACCAGCAATTTCTGAGCATCTGTTTCTCTAATCCACAGTGCCGGTCTGTTTCCCAGACTTCTGTGTCCTCAGCAGTAAGTCATTGCGCGAGGAGGTGACCGCAGGGGGAGGGCAGCAGAGGCCTGCTCTGCAGGAAAGGGAGGGAATTCTCCGGGAGACCGAGGTCAAGGTAGGGGGAATGGTTGCCTAGACATCTCTACCTGAGGGCCAAGGGGAAGCCAGGCTAAGTCTAAAGCAAGCCGCAGGGCAGATGGGGTGATGCCAAGCCAAGGAGACAGCCAGGAAGGAGAACCAGGCCCTGGCAGTCCCGTCAGAGGGCAAGACGTAGGTGCCTGTTCATGTCTCAGAGCGGATGACACCTCAAATGCAACTTGACACGCTTTTATCTGTCACTAGAAGAAGAAAATCCCCTAGTGCCACAGTTAGGAGCGTTAAAATGTATGTTAAATGCTAACTGCAATTTGAAGGTGCTTACACTAAAAATGGTTCAGAATTTGGTTTTAATATAGTCTGTATAAAGTTTCATATGGGTAATAATTATTTTTTCCCATTTGGTATCTTTAAATCTTCATTTTTTCACTTAAAAAATATATTTGTACTAGTCAAGAACAACAGTTTTGCCTTTTATGATTTCCAGCAAACAGTGCAAATATTTAACAAATAAATATTATGGCGTAGATTGTTTTGAACAGCATGCATGAGAAATTTGTGGATTTAAATTTAATTTGAAATCATAATGAATTCAAGGTACCATTCCCAAGACAGTTGTGTAGATGAAGATTAAAAAAAAGTCCTAGTCTATTTGAAAAATCTTAAGGGTATATTATGCAGTCAGAGAGTGTCCTAGAAAGAGACTAACAACATTTCTAGTAAATAAGTTGGGCATGTTTTATATCACACTTCTGGAAGAAATTTAGAAATAAGGCTTTTGCTGTAAGTACCTAGAAAAAACTTATTTGACCAAGAGCTCAGAAAAATGAACAGTGTTTTCATTTGGTATGGAGGTATTATCTTGTATCACAGCCTGCCTAGCTGTCCTGCACTGTATGTGTAAGGTGTTCTGGCTGATCCTAGCTAGATGGATGGGTAGATTACGTCCGCCTCCTTGGTCATGCGATGGTGGGCTCTGATAGACTGAGACGGCTCACTGTGGCAGAATGCTTTCTTGTTGCCAATGCAAAGAATCCTATTTAATGGCAAATTATAGAATCTCTGGGTAGCTCCTAGCTGAAATTGTTTGATTTCTCCGTATAAATCCTTCTTTGGAGGCAGCCTGCTATTTCAAAGGAGAGTGTAAGCATTTGAAAAATCTGGGTCACTCCTCATGCATTACAGGAAGATATTGGTGATAGACAAGGCCTCAGGACCCATCTGTAGCCATATGGGAACTGTGTGAGGTTGCAAATAAAGTTGGTGGGGGGGCCCATAGCAGATTCCAAACCCTGACCCTCAGCACCAAGACTACCAACTACTGAAAAGTGTGGATGGAAAAAGCAAAGTCTTTATGTAAATATAATATTAGAATGCGAATCATGTTCAAATTAATAGTGAATTAATTAATAGATTTTAATATTAAGGAAAGGATGACAAAGGAAGGATCTGAGTTACATGGGAGGATCATTGAAATGAAGCAAATAATGATTTTTTTCCTCTATTGACCATTCTTAAAGGAACAATCACATTAACCTTTTTTGGTTAAAAAATATGACATTGATATTTATTAGGGCAAAAGGTTGTTAACAATAATTATCTCTGCTTGGTCAAGGATTCAAGTGGCAGAAGGTAGGAGGTTTACTTCTTAGTCTTGGAGACTATCTTGGTATTTTACTGTTTTTGTTTTTTTTTCTTTATTGACATTAGAGAGAGAGAGAGGAAGGGAGAGGGAGAGAAAAATAGAAACATCGATGAGAGAACATGGATTAGCTGCCTCCTGCATGACCCTGACTGGGGATCAGGCCCAAAACTTGGGCATGTGCCCTGACCAGGAATTGAACCAGTGACCTCTTGGTGTGTGGGTCAATGCTAAACCACTGAGCCCCACTGGCCAGGCAGTATTTTACTGTCTTTATGTGTTTTCAATATTTTGTAAATATTTTGAAGTAAACACATTGCATGGCGAGGCAGTACAGAATGGCAGGTGCGAGTACAGACACTAGGGCTACAGTCATAGTTTTAAATGACTGGTCAGATAAGCGATCTAGGAAATCTGAATCCATCCCCCAAATCCCTTGGACGTTTCAGTGAGGCTCGGCCGACTTCCGTCGGCCAGTGACTGCAGCTCTGGGCCTTACGTCGTGGAGTCTGTTCTGCTTAGGGTGCAGCAGGCCTGGAGGATGTCCTTGACGAATGACCACTGAGAGTTAGCCTTCAATATCCTTCAAATGGTGACAAGGGAACTGGGAGGAGAAGTACTTTGTCACCACCCACTTTGGTAATTGGCTTAACGGTGTCTCCTGAAGAGGCTACCTTCCCTTTCCTGAACCACTTTCCTCTTTCCTACCAGTGTGTCCTGCGCTTCCCAAATAATCTATTTGCATCCAAATGCTTGCATCAGGGTCTGTCTCTGGGAGAACCTACACTAAGACAAATAACTATACATCCTGGTCGCTAATGTCCCCAGGCCAGACTTCTCTCCTGAGCTCCTGATTCAGACATCTCCATCCAGATGCTTACAAACAGTGCCGAGGTAACGGGATCACGGAATGCTGCTGCGCTCCACCCTGCTTCTCTCCCTGTTCTTCCCAGCGAGTTCCCGTGGTACGGAGTATGAAATCCAGCGTCCTCACTGCATTTTGAAGAGCCACAGTGATCGCAGTTGCTCGCCTCTCTGGGCCATCTCCTTCCACCTCGGCCTTGCTTACCGGCTCCAGGGCACTGGGTGTCCTTCAGACTCCCAAACATGTCATGCTTGTTCCCTTCCAAAGCCCTGCACTTGCACTGTTGTCACAACTTTCAGGCCTCAGCTTAGAAGCCACCCCCTAAAGAGACCTTCCCTGGCCAGCTCAGAAGGGAGAACTTCTTGTAGTCGTGCCCCAAAACATCATCTTTTTATTTTCTCCAGAGCATGTAGCACCCCCAGAAACGACCTTGCCTGTTTGTTTTCATGTAATCATTCTGAAATGTCTTTCTTATTAAAATGCCCTAAATGTGAGGACTTGAGAATAGATTTTTGAATTTTGCCAAACATATTTTTTTGAGATTTGTTACTCTTAAAATAATATAACCTTCATGGTACATAGGAAATGACTCAGAATTATTATGTAATTAATAATTATTATGTAATTTATAGAGAGTGTTTAGAAGAGTAGATTATAGGTGTACTCATTTTTTCTTTTTTCTTTTCTTTTCTTTTTTCCCATCACCATTTATTCCCCCTATATCCTCCCCCACCTCCTCCCACCCTGTACTCACTCTTATGCTAGATTTCCTGCTTATTTTAGAGGGAAAATATATTACGTGTGTTCCAAATAAACTTAAAAGTCCTAATGGCCATTATTTTCCGTTTGCTCCATTAGTTCAATTATGTCACTTATGCAGGGAAGGCACCAAACACTAATCTGGAGCCCTGCATCTCATTTTGTTGCTACTGTTCTAAAGATGACTTTGAGTGGCTGATCTTTTGGAACACTCAGTGGCTTCTTCTAAAATGGAAATATTTTAGAAGATAACGTGAAATGAATGTGAAATAATCATTATCTGTGACTTAGTTCCGAAACTACTTAATAAACAGAAGGCTAGGAGTGTTTGAGCGGATTCCTCTCTGCTCAGGGTGAATGCAGATTTTAGCTGGACACATTCTGCAGGGCTGGGCGCATGGCAGACGCTCAACTCTACTAAGACTTGGAGAAGGATGGGCAGGATAATTTGTTGGATTTGCTCTAAATTGGAAAGTCTAGTGGGGGAGGGGAGGAAAGGAAGAGACATTTAAAAAGATGGTGGTAGGCTGGGACTAGATTTGGTGAAAATGCTCATCAGTACGTTGAAAAACATATTTAAGCTTGTGGTGACCACTCTTCCACTAAAAATTATTTGTAAAATGGCTTGACAAATTGGCTTTTCAGATATTCAAAAATAGGTCAAACTTTTTATTTTCAGGGCGATGGAGCAAACATATTTCCCCCTATTCCTCCTAAGTACAACTAAAGGCCCTGGACATTAATATATAAAACAAACATAAGCAGACCCTGAAAGTTGGAGAGAAGGCAGACTGCCTACGGATCTCAGAACTCAAGGAATGATAGATGCATTGGTGAGTTCTTTGAGTTTTCTTTTAGCTTCATATATCCCATACTAGGAGCTGAAGAAGCCATCACCCCAAAACACCCATGAGTAGTGTGGACGAAAAAAAAAAAAAAGCCCGGACAAAAGCCTGCTCTCTCTAGCCAAGGAACCGGGAAAGGAGTAGCAGAGTAAAACAGAAACCGTTTAGACCATAGTCACTCTCCTCCAGCCTCATCCCAACCCACCCAGCACGTAGAATGGGGAGTCTGGACTTCCCCCTGCTGAAGCTGTAACGTGCAGAGAGCCCCTTGCCAAGATGGTGTCAGAGAATGCTGATTATGGAACCAGGACCTTTAGTTCCTCTTAGTAATGACCCCTCCCCACCAACTCCTCAGGTGAAGACCATCTGGAGAGCCTAGATTTATATCCAACCCGGGAATGAAGAGGTGCTCCCCCACTCCTGTTCGAGTGGTAGCAGAGGAGACAGTAGAGAGGCAGGTCCTTCATCACTGCCTGGTGGCATCGAGGCCACCCCCTTCCCTGTGCTGTGAATGGAGCCCTCTTGGAGAGTGGTAATGATGCAATAAGAGCAGTTACTTGGTAAATGTGATTCTTGTTCTTCTATACCCCTCACCTCTCTTAATGAGAAGGGCAAGAACACCAAAGGTGGAATGTAAAAACCTTCAAACCTGACTAAGCTCTGGCCCCAAATACCAAAAGATCCATTCCACTTTCTAATTTTTTTTTTTTTGCAGTTCAAATGTTTATTATTTTTTCTTCAGTTGATTCTTCAGCAGAAATTATTTCCTTCTTTGGGGACAGTTTTACATCGTGGTTAATTTCTGGAATCTGAGTCTAGATCTAGATTCTGGGTCCACAATCAGGTGGTAATTTACTCAGTCTCCCCGAGGCTCACTTTCCTCATCTGTGTTAAGGAATACAACTATTACCTGCTTCCACTAGGGTTGCTGTCCTGGTTAATGAGTTGATAAAGTTTAGAACTGTGCCTGCCTAGGAAAGCACTCAGCAAAGACTGTAGTTATTTGTTGGATGTAGATACATGGATCTCCCTGACACTGGGGGGTGGGGGGGGACTACACCTAGGAGCTACCTCGTCTCTTAGCCCCTTATCTGCGAGCAGAGCTGCTGCCCTCCAGTCTTGCATTCCCCATCCTCCACCCCCGCTGTTCCAATGGGCCTCCAATCTTGCATTCCCATCCTCCACCCCCACTGTTCCAATGGGCCTCCGATCTTGCATTCCCCATCCTCCACCCCCAGTTCCAATGGGCCTCCGATCTTGCATTCCCCATCCTCCACCCCCACTGTTCCAATGGGCCTCCAATCTTGCATTCCCCATCCTCCACCCCCACTGTTCCAATGGGCCTCCAATCTTGCATTCCCCATCCTCCACCCCCACTGTTCCAATGGGCCTCCAATCTTGCATTCCCCATCCTCCACCCCCACTGTTCCAATGGGCCTCCAATCTTGCATTCCCCATCCTCCACCCCCACTGTTCCAATGGGCCTCCAATCTTGCATTCCCCATCCTCCACCCCCAGTTCCAATGGGCCTCCAATCTTGCATTCCCATCCTCCATCCCCGCTGTTCCAATGGGCCTCCAATCTTGCATTTCCCATCCTCCATCCCCACTGTTCCAATGGGCCTCCAATCTTGCATTTCCATCCTCCACCCCCACTGTTCCAATGGGCCTCCAATCTTGCATTCCCCATCCTCCACCCCAACTGTTCCAATGGCACAATCTTCCTTAATGTCTTGGCAGGTAGGCACTTTTAAAATATTAGTTCAAAATAAATTTGGCAGAGGTGTAATGCATGAGCGTTCTCCAGAGAAACAGAACCAATGGGGACACACACACACACACACACACACACACACACACACCTGGAGGTTGAGGTGGAAGAGAGAAAATTTAAGGAATTGGCTCCTGCTAAAGTGGGGGCTGACAAACCTGAAATCTGTAGAACAAGCCAGTAGACTGGAAATGGAAAGAGTTTCAGTTGCAGTCATGACTCTGAAAGCTACTGGTTGGAAATGTAGATGGGATTTCTGTGTTACAGTATGGAAGCTTAATTCTTCTTCAAGAAATCTCAGACTTTGCTCTAAAGTCCTTCAACTGATTGGATGAGGCCCACCCACATTATGGAGAGTGATCTGCTTTACTAAGAGTCTACCCATTTAAATGTTAAGCACATCTAAAAGATACTTTCACAGTATATTTAGACTGGTGTTGGCCCAAACAACTGGGCACTATATAGCCCAGGCAAATGACACATAAAAATGACTGTCACAGCCTGGCCAGTGTGGCTCAGTGGATTGAGTGTTGTCCCATGGACTGAGAGGTCCCGGTTTGATTCCTGGTCAGGGCACAAGCCTGGGTTGTGGGCTTGATCCCCAGTAGGGGGCGTGCAGGAGGCAGCCGACTGATGTTTCTCTCTCACATCAATGTTTCTCTCTCTCCCTTCCTGCCTCTCTCTCTAAAATAAAACAGTAAAAACGTATTAAAAGTAAGAAAAGTAACTATTACATATAAAGAAATGAATTTTACACTTATTAAAGTTATACGCTTTTTTTGTGTTCAAGATAAATTTATTACCTGCAATTCTTCTAAACCATGCAACTACTTGGAGCATAATGTATTGTCCAGAATCACAATATTAAAATAAGTGTTTCATTTCTCTAAACAATACAATATCATGTACTATTATCTTTCAGAATGTCAGCTCGCTGACTCTGCTGACCCCAGGTCAGGTCTACCAGCTGACTCAGTATGATGACGAATCCTGAAGATGGTGAGACCTAAGGGCGGCCTCTTGGGTGCATTGCAAAAATACTTGCTGGGAGATTTTCTTACTCCTCACATAAATGCTTTGTCTATTTCTGTTCCAATGGAGTTAAATTTTATTTCTTCAGGCATGCTGCATATTTCAATTTATTTAGTGATAATTTAATGCCATTTATAGATCAGCATCCTGGGTAGCTCCCCGATCTAACTTGGCTTATAACTGGCTCTGTTACAATACACTCAGTTGGTAAATCTGACTAAAACACAGGGAAAGGTAACTATTGCCTAAGGGTTTATTTGTCCTTTTTCTTAGGAGAAACATCTCTGAACTTGAGCCACACCTGATCCAATTCACACACATCTAAGCTGAAAACCGTAGTCTCCTTGGCTGGGCAGAGTGTGCCTTGGATTCCAGGTCTGGGCGGAGGGCAATGCTTTAGACAATTCGGAAGGAGATGCTGAGAAACAATACTTTATTTCCCCCCATAAAATATAGAAAAACCTCTAATAAATATGAAGTAGGTAATTTTAGTGAAATTTTATAGTGATAAAAAATTATGAGAAAACCAAATAAAAAAGTAATATATAAAGTGATCGGTTTTATGTGGAACACATCAGTGTTTTCATAGTTAATAGAGTTGGAAGGGGGTTAGAGTCACCTGATCCAGATCTTTTTTTCTTAGATGATGAAGCCAAGCCTAGAAAGATGCTGTATTTGCCAGTTATTAATTAACTGCTAGACATTAATTTGCCAGTTAATTCAATAATTGCCAAACCAAGACAAAAACCAACCATCATGGCTTTCAGCCCAGGACTCTTTCTACCACATCGCATATGAAATGATTCTTCAATATTTTCAGCCTTTTTATTTACTCTTTTAAGGAATTAACTTCATAAAAATGTAGGTTTACTTCAAACCTACATTGACAGAGAGCAGGAACACACAAACAGAAGAACTCAGATATTTGTATTTGTACATCACCACTCTCCTGCAAACGTGTTTATTTTTGCAGTGATTTGGGGGCTTCTGCTGGATCCCTAGACCACATCAGCGAACACTGAGGCTCTGAGGCCCTGTCCCCAAACTCATTCACTCAACAAAGCAGCCACTGTGTGCCAGGCAGCGTGCTAGGCACCGGGATCACAGAGATAAATAATAAAGCACTGTTTAGTTGAGAAGAAAGCACACACAATCAGATACGCTACAAAGATGGTACAGTGAGCACTATAATAGTGGAACGATACGAATGAGGGACCCTAGACTCAAAAAACTTGTGCCTTTTGCAAAAGTACCCTTTGAAACGGTCTAAGAGGATGAGAGTAGTTTACCGGGCAAGAGGTGGAGAGGCCTCAGGCATTGGAGGGCCCATGGGGGTGTGCCAAGCACGGTGGGTCAGGAGACAAGAAGGTGATGAGGTGGGAGAAGAGGGTGGGGAGGCGGGTTGAGGTCAGCATGGGAACCCTCTTAGGCTACATGCTGAGGACTGCTTTTACCCGAGAGGGTTTTACCAGGAAGATAAAAATACATATAATACAATGTCCCATCACGGAGACTTTCAAAAAGAGAGGATGAGATTTGACAGATTTATTTTTCTGAAAGATAATGTTGATCCTTTATTTCACCTAAAAATGAGATAAAATATTACTGCTTTGACATTTGTTGTTGGGATCAAATAGTGCGTGTGAAGGTGCCTGGTAAATTACACAGAAGGACACAGCTGTGAAACACTTATTCATGTCACACGATAATAAAATCAGAGGGTGAAACTTGTGTGTGACTAAATATTGGGCAGACAGCACACTTCTGAGCATCCGTAGCATGTTGAGATCTAACCCTGTGGACATTTCCACCAGATTCTGCAGGTATATGGCAAAGCATACATCTCTCGAAATAGCTTTCACTAAACTGAACATTTGACTTTAAACTAAGGTCCTTACAAAAAACAGCATTGAAACTACTTCTGCATTTGCTGTAAAAACCTTTTCAAAACTTTGGCCATTAAATACCTCAATCTTTTAAAAATACGAGTAAGTTATTAATTGGTCATTATACGTCATGATTATAATCATTAGATTATGAGTTAATTAATTAATTAATACCATCTAAGGAAATGAGAGAAGATGCACACTGAGATTTATATATTAGAAAGTTCATTGCAGTGTTTTTTATAATAAGGAAAAATCAGAAATCACCTAAATGTCTCTCAATGGTGGTAAAAATTAAATTATGGCTTATTTATATGGTGGAATAGTTTGTAACTATCAAAATCATGATTTCAAAGACTAATATTATGACAAAGCATGCAAACCATTAAGTAAAAAAAAAACAGTTGTAGGAATTGTCATTTGCTCCCTATTTGGGGACAAAAAAAAATTGTAGCTCCTCCCCCCAAAACTGAAAAAAATGAATAAACTTGTAATATTTACATTTTTCTGCATTAAATTATTACAAAAGATTTTCTCTTTATTGAAAACATTTTCTAAAACTTACAAAATTGTTATTAACTATTTAATGAGAAAAACTAATGTTTTGATCTCACTATTTGTGGAATATAATGAACAAAATAAGCTGACGAACAAAATAGATCCAGAGACATGGCAATAGGAAACAGACTAACAAACCTCAGAGGGAGAGGGTTCGGGGGTGGCGAGAAGAGATAAACCAATGAGCCCTGGCCGGTTTGGCTCAGCGGTTAGAGCGTCGGCCTGCGGTCCGGAGATAAACCAATGAAATTATAAGCATAAGCATATATGTACAACCAGTGGACAGACAACAGTTGGATGAAGGTTTGTGTGTGTGTGTGTGGGGGGGTTAGGGGGTGGAACAGGGAGGAGGGCATCAATGGGGGAAAAAAGGAGGGACATCTAATACTTTCAACAATAAAGATTTTAAAAACTAATGTTTTACAAAGATTTATATTAAGTAATTTTGTGCTAAGATTATTCTTGACTGCCCTGTGGTTTATGCTTTCACATTTTTGATGGAGTCTCTGTTGCAAGGATTAGTGCGGATCTGGGAGATATTACTCCCTTAACTGTAGGTCCTGAGTTCCTCAACCCTCTTTCCTCTGAGAAAAATTTAAAGTGTTATTTCTACATATAAAGAGCTTAAGATTTATCTGTGAGGATGAGACAAATTTAGGGGACAACCAGGACATAGGAATCATAATAATGTCATAAGATTAATAGTAAATTTCCAAGATTAGTGCATCACTTTGATTTGATAGATGGAGAAAATAAAGCTAAGAGAGAATAAATAATTTTTCCAGCATTACACAAGGCTTCAGGTATTCTGGTTCCACTGAGCTATAAAAATCCAGGATATTACTCAAAATGCAAGAGGAAACCAAAGTCAGCCTCCAGGAAAGAGTTAAAGGAAGAAGGACTGGTTAATCCCCTAGGTTACGACTCTTCTTCAGCAGGTAATGAGTCTGTGGGGCCTTCCAACCATTAAGACCATCTTCATTGACAGCATCTCACCGCTCACTTGGGCTGTGAATTAGGAAGCTTTCAGTTGTCAGTGACAGAAACCCAACTCAAACCATAACGAAATAAATTAATTAAAAGTAGGACCTCAGAGCCCTGGCCGGTTTGGCTCAGCGGTTGGAGCGTCCACCTGCGGTCCGGAGAGACCCGGGTTCAGTTCCCGCTAAGGGCACGTACCTCGGTTGCAGTTTGTCCCCGGCCCTGGTTAGTCGTGCGGGTGGCAGCCACTCGATGTGTCCCTTTCACATCGACGTTTCCCTCTCTCTCTCTCTTCCTCTCTCTCCCTCCCACTCTGTCTCTGTCCCTCCCACTCTGTCTGTACAAAAAATGGAAAAATGTCCTCGGATGAGGATTAAAAAAAAAAAAAAAAAAAAGTAGGACCTCAGACGTTGTTGTCAGGGCTCTGGCTCCATCTTTCTATCTCCCCGCATCTCTGCTTGGCTTCATTCTTCGGACAGGTGTTCACCAGGCACTTGGCAACATGGCTGCCAGAAGTCAAGGTTTATGCCTCCCTGCTTAGGAAACCCTGGAGATGTTTCTCTAGAAAGCTCTAGCAGAAATGTCCCTGGAAAAACCCTTATTCCCCAGGGTCTACCATGGCCTGTCCCTGAGCCAGTAACTGAATCTCATTGGTGATTCAGCCCACCCTAACCACCTGAAAAGTATTCCCCTTGGTGAAGACATGTCCTATTAATAGAAGAAGTCAGCAGAAGGGGTGGGGATGCTTATTCAGGTCTCTGCTATGAGAGGTAGTGCCAATGACCTAAGTATTGGTATTAACCATGTAAAACAGAATAAATACAAAAGGAGAGAAGGGAATGATAATAAGACTCCTAGCACAATTTTCCCAGAGGAGATCGGTGATGATACATACTAGGGTTATACAAAATTCTATTGATACTGGACTAAGTAAACCCTACTTGGAAATTAAATATCTTTGTAAGAAAACCCCACTATATGAACAGTGACAAACCATTTTCTATGACATATGCTCTCAGGGATAATTGCAGTGACTAGACTAGTCCAACTTGCACCTATTAGGAATAATATTCTTTGAACAAACACTTAGACTGGGGTCTAAAAGGCAGAGTTGTCATAGAAATATCTCTTTAGATAATGACTTCAGAGACTAATCACTTATAAAGCTATGGAGATTTTAATTAGGCAGCATAATTTCTGAAAACAGTAGAGGAAAAGAACTCCAGCATCACCTTCATGTGAAAATTAGTTCTCTTATCACCAATATGGTAGGGTGCGGAATTTATCAAAACAATTCCTCCTGACATTTGTACCATGCTTTATGTTGTCATATATTAACTCAGTTAATTTTTATAACATCCTCAGGAAGCAGACATTACTATAATCATCTACATTTTACAGATAAGAACATTAAGGCATAGAGAGTTCGACTCAAATTCTCCTATTGGTGGTTTTCTATGCACATAATAGGAAGAACACATGTTTGGTGAGAGAGAACTGAGTTTGAATCCTGTCTCCACCACCTACTATCTATTCAACTATGGCCTTTTGATTGTCTTCTTCTCAAATATAAAATGTGATCATCATACTTCATATAACCTGCATAATACTAGAAATTGTCTCTCATTTTAGGTCCTCTTATGGGGGCTCTCTGCCAAACTCCAGGCCATTATATTTAGCCTTGAGGCTGGAGCCGGGAAGAAGAAGGGGCCACATCCCCTGCCCCTGTCCCCCAGGTGAGCCCAGGAGAAGAATCTACTGATAGGAGAGGAAAGTAAAGCGCAGCTTCTACCTTCTGGCTTGAGGGGTAAAAACAGGAAATGAAAGTGGAGGGAAAGAGCAGAAGAAGCAAAGTTTCAGTTTTTTCCTTCCGTTTTCTCAGGATAAATTTAAGGAAGAAGGAATGTGGGGAAGCCCAACAATAGAAGGTCTTCTGCTTCCATCTGTGTTCAGACTGAAAGGCGCCCCCTGCCCCCAGGCTGGCCCGGCCCAGTCCTATCAAAACAGCCTGGTGCACGGTGTGATCTAGGTGGGGGAGAGACCCAATTTAGCAACCTTGAGTGCCTTGGTTGTCTATAGTGGGGTGAGGCCTGGCTGGGAATTTTCTAGGGTCCCTAAAACTGTGGTCTCCAGGTGGACAGAAGTACCCAGGAGAAGCACTGGGGTCAGAGTTGAAGATTTAGATTTAGACATTGTGAGTCTAATTGAATGCTTCTGCTTTTCCCTCTAAAGATACATTTCTGTTTTTATTAATGTATTTTACAGCTGTGGTTTTCTTTGACAAATTTGTTTTGTGCCCACTCTCTTTACTCTCACAGTGAGGAATTCCATACATGTCCTTTGGAATTATTAACCAGCATGGCATAAATACTAGGCTGTAAGCCAGAATAAAGAACACACATTCTTAAGGTAAATACTGTATGATTACACTTACCTGTGGAAATCTAAAAAATCAAATCACAGAGAACAGAGTGGTGGTTTCCAGAGGTGGGGAGGGGTGAGGGAAAATAGGTAAAGGTTTTAAAAGGTACAAACTTCCAGTTATAAGATAAATAAGTTTCGGGGATGTAATATACAGCATGGTGACTAGCAGTACTTCATTGAGTATTTGAAAGGTTGCTAAGAGAGTAGATCTTAAAAGTTCTCATCATAAGAAAAAAATGTGGAACTATATGTGGTGACTGATGCTAACTAAATGTATTGTGATGATTATTTTGATATGCATATACATATATCAAATGATTATGTTCTACACCTTAAACGAATACAATGTTATATGTCAAGTATATTTCAATAAAACTGGGGAACAGCTGTTAAGATACTATTGCTAGCCCCTATGGTTCTGTGTTTTGGGAGGGCTGATGTGCCCAGGTCCTTGTGGGGTCTGCAATTAGACTGTCAGAGTCACTGATTTAGAGGTCCGATTAGCAGCAGTGTTAACTTGATACCCTATGTAAACGTAGACTCACCAACAATATATTAAATCTGTATTTGTTTCCAGACTTCACCTTAACAGAGCACAGTGTCTTTGGTCAGCCACTGTCATTCACAGAAATAAAAAATTCTCCTTTTGGACCTTTTGAACACTGCATGTTCAAGGAGGACAGTTTCTCAACCTTTCACGATGCCCATTTGGACTGGATCATTCTTCCTTGTGGGGAGCTGGCCTGTACATCGAAGGATGTTTAGTAGCAACTCTGGTCTTTACTCACGAAATGCCTAGTGGCAACAATCAGAATGTCTCCAGACACTGCCAAATGTCCCCTGGCTTGGGGAAGGTGGGGACAAACTCACTTCCGGTTCAGAATGCCTGCACAGTGCCGCTTAGGTGTTCTCGATCTCCACAGTTCATTGGCTGTCATCCTTGGCTCCACCCGGCCCAGCCTCGCCCGGTGCAGATCCAGCCAGGAATCCAGGAGAGCTGGGCCCGTGGGCGCTTGTATACAGATGCCTGTGAAGAAGTAGGTGGGGAAGAGGCTCAAGTCCTAACCTCTGGCAAAGTTCATATTTGCTTCATTTTCTGCCGAATTCAGTTAATTACCATAATCGTCAGCACAATTACCATGATCACCAGAGACTTTTTTCTTTTTACCTAGTTCACCCTTAAAAAACTACACCATCTGTTTATTCCAGTGTGCTATGCAAAGACTATTTTTAAAAAATTGATTTCAGAGAGAGAAAAGAAGGGGGGGGGGAGAGAGAGATCTATTTGTTGTTCCACTTGTTTGTACACTCATTGGTCGATTCTTGTATGTGCCCTGACCACTCGGGATCAAACCTGAAATCTTGGTGTATCCGGATGATGATCTAACCAACTGAGCTACTCGGCCAGCGAAGGACTATTCCTTTTAACGTGTGCCGTGACATAAACAGGGTTTGGGAAGTGGTGTGAGCTGTTCAGAAGGATGGCCTTGGAAACACAGAGGTCCCTTCAGGGGTTTCTCTGCATCCAGTTTCCAATGGGCCCCTTGCTCACAGGACGAAGGAAAATCATTCCCTGTTCCCTCCTCAGTCAGCTGGAAGGCTTCATTATTTCTCAATTAAAATCCAGAAAGGTGGGGATTCTTATCCACAAGTGACATTTGTGTAATTTGACTGAATTTCCCTCTCAAACCAATATCCTGGCCTCTATACAATTTGCAGCTTTTTTTCCCCTCTGAAAATCAATGTGCTTGGCTCCACTAGTTCGAAAACAAGAACTGAAACAAACAGCTGGATTCATTTAAGATGTTTCCTGTTCATTTCAACTTGAAATAAACTTTTCAGCAGATCGCCTTTGTGGCAGCTGAAAGCCAACATAAATTCAAACAGCAGGTTTCTTGCCGTTAAGAAACCAAGGCTTCCTGGTGTTCCAGCCAACAAAGGCCTCATCGGGATCCTCAGGCACAGAGAGGGGATGCCTGCTCTCTGGGAAGACGTGACCAGTTCACATACAACCTGGCAGGGGGACTCAGAATGGGCTCACAGGTTGTCAACTGATATAATTTTCTGCTATTCGTCCTGGCCCCCTGCCCAGCCCCTGGTCCTTTCTCTCTACTGCAGACCTCCTACATGGGCAATAGCAGATTGCTAATTTTCCAAAGGGGAATAAAAGTGATAGCATGCTGTGAAACCTCTGTTGATTGTGTAAAAGCTGTGTTTGTCCCCATTTCTTAAGCCCCGGCTTTCTGTCCATGTTTACCGTTTCTCAGTGGGAACAAGGCTGCCTACATCATCAAAAGATGTTTGCCCTGAGTCTGTTTCAGGTATGCCAGGGATTGTTTCTATGGATACCACCCCCCAAAGTGCAATGAGGAAGTACAGGTAGGCAGGGTGACCATTGCATTTAGTTTATTCAACAAATATGTTTATTGAATATCTGTTACGAGCCATACTCTGTGTTGGACGCTGGAAACAATGAAAAATAGAGAGGGTCTTCACTTTCATGGGTTTTGTTGACATTATTTAGATAAATATTCAAATACGTGAAAAAGCCCAAGTGAGAGGGGCCATGAAAGGAGGGGGTGTGGATCTGTGGGAGACCTTGTCAAGGATTTGACTAAACCCAGAGGACAGACCACGCAGAATCATGTTTAGTGTTAGGCCTCTGCCTATAAGCAATGAACATATTATCGATGGGCTTACCAGGGGTGTGATACAAACAAATTTGTTTTAACTGACTCTTTGCTAATGAATTGAAAACTCAAGTAGACTCCATGACGTGCTCTTTGACACATGCTTGTATGCAGAGGGCATACTTGTTAGTGCTATAATTTATTACTGGGCTAGACTTGAAGACACTGGGGTAAAAAAGTCCTTTGAAAAACAAATATCAGAGCTCTGGCTGGTGTTGCTCAGTGGTTAGAGCATCGGCCTGTGACCTGGAGAGTCTTGGGTTTGATTTCTCAGCACGGACCCATACCTGGTTTGTAGGTTAGATCTTTGGCCCTGGTCCAGGCCCGTGTCGGAGACCACCAATCGATGTGTCTCTCTTACATTGATGTTTCTCTCTCCTCCCCACCCCCTTTCTCCTCCCTTCCTCTTTCTCTAAACAATCAATGGAAAAATATCCTCTGGTAAGGATTAAAAAATAATAAATAAATAAATAAATATCAGAAACACTGACAGCCAATGTGCTGAGTCCTCTTGACCTCAGCAAGTGAAATCAAATGAACTGAGATTCAAGAACTTTCTTGGCTCTTGGTTGTGTCAGTTTCTACTCTACATGCCAGTGCCCTCCCAAAAGCCATGTTCACCCAGAACTTCAGAAGGAGACTTTATTGGAAATAGGGTCTTTGCAGATGTAGTTAGCTAAGGATCTCCAGATAAAATTATCCTGGATTTAGGGTGGGTCATAGATACAAAGATGAATGTCTTTTAATAGAAAGGAGAGCCTGGCCGGTGTGGCTCAGTGGTTGAGCATTGATCCGTGCACCAAGAGGTCGCCGGTTCGATTCCAGGTCAGGACACATGCCCAGGTTGTGGGCCCGATCCCCAGTGGGGGGCATGCAGGAGGCGGCCAATCGATATTCTCTCTCATTGATGTTTCTATCTCTCTCTCTAAAATCAGTAAAGATTTAAAAAATAATAAAAATATTATAATAAAAGAGAGAGGAGAGAAAGATTTGGACACTGAGAGACATAAGGAGCAGGAGCCATGTGGAGACAGAGGCAGAGAGTTATGCTGCCACGAGCCAAGGAATGCAAGAAGGAGCCAGAAACTGGGAGAAGAAGGAAGAATTCTTCCCTACAGCCTTCCAGACTTCTGGCCCCCAGAACCGTGAGAGAACACATTTCTGTGGTTTTAAGCCAGGCAGTTTGTGGGGATGTTATGACAGCCTCATGAAACTAATACATGTGTGTAAACAAGGCTCCCTCCCCCAAGATTACTGTAATTATTACAATTTTTTTCACTGAATTTTTTTCCACTGAAATATTACAAAACTGTTTTATTGCACCAATTTTTCTTCTCTCATTAAAAGGAAAAGGTAAATCAAAGGTGTTTTTCTCATGGTTCTTTCTGCCTGCTTTAATAGAAGGATTTTTGCACATCTGTAAAAGAGTTAAAAAAACACACACACATCAAATTCTATTTATTTTAAACTTAAGTTATGGGCAAATTTGGCTCAAATTGCATAGGATAAGTTAAAATAAATTGCATTATATTAACCAATGTGAATGCCTTTCTGAAATCATGTTTATAGATAAACCTTAATATAGAGCGGCAAACAATGAACAAGGCAACAAAGATCATTCTGGCTGCAACGGAGAGAGCAGATTGCAAGGAGCCAGAACTGGAGATGAAACCCTTCACTGGAAGGGGGTGGAACATTTTTTTTCTTTATTGATTTTAGAGTGAGAGTAAGGAAGAGGGAGAGAGAGAGAGAAACATTGATGAGAGAGAACATCGATTGGCCGCCTCCTGCATGTCCCCCACTGGGGATTTGGCCCACAATGTGGGCATGTGCCCTGACTGGGAATCAAACCGGTGACACTTGGTAATGTGTTTGCAAGTGGGAGGACTCAGGTTCTGTGCTCAGGGAGAAGCACAGATAAGGGTGGCGTGGATCCTGACCATTGAGTCTGGAGCCTGTCTGTGTGCTCGAACAAGATCCCTATGGCTCAGGCTTGGAGGGAGCGGGGTTGCTCAATGTAAATGAACCGATGGGCTAGAACATAGAGCATCCCCAGGGCCATGGCAGTCTGGGGACCAGCAGGTCTTTTTCAAGCATTCTCAAGCATTCTATGGGCGGGGGTCTTGTAACAATGACAGGTCTCAGGCATTATCTCTAAACTCAATACTCAATTTAATTTGGTTAAAAAAAGAAAATAATGTGATTTGTACATATTTAACCTTATAGAGCAAAATCCTCCTCATCTCATTATATTCTGTAATGAATTTCCTCCCCTCTGAAGCCCCAAGTTGATCCTTAGCTCAGAATGTCATATATACCTCATTTTCCCTTTCTGTCTTGGAACCTCTCATGTCTGCAAGGTCTCTGACTCTCTCATATATATGTGGGGTTGCTGAGTGCATTAAATTAAATTTGATTTTCTCTTGTAAACCTGTCTCATGTTCACTTGATTATTCGACCAATCAAAAGAACCAGAGGAAGAGAGAGGGAAATGTTCCTTTCCCCCCCGCTGAGGGCTGTGGCTAGAGGCTTCACTAATATTAGTACCTTCGCCTCTGTAGAAGTGGGAGGAGTCAATAATACTTACCAAATGTATCACACACTATAGATTTCTCAACTTGCTTTGCTATGACTTTTTAAAGGAACTCATTCAGAGAAAGAAAACAATATAAAATAAAGCATAACTAAGTTGAAGAATTAAAGTTGCAAATAGTGTTCTCTGCCAGAAAGCTTTGGTGTGTTGAGTAGTGTGGAAAGGACAATTAGCTTAACAGCCGTCCCCAACTGAATTGTATCCCTAACATCATCTTTCAATTGCAAGTACAGATATACTCTACTAAGTAGCAGATGGAAGGTCAGGCCAAAAGAAAGCCAATTATCAAGTGTGAAATGCATTCCTGCTTAATACCTTTTATGAACACAAAACAATCTGCTCCAAAGACACATTTGCAATGCAAAAAAAGCACTTTAAAAGATGACTCTGTGAATGCCATGTAGTTTATTTAGCTTTGGTCTTGTTGAAGAATCCAAAGTTGAAGAAACTTTAAAGTTGAAGAAGTTTAAATGTATCATTGGTCAAATTTGTATAGCCAAAGGAAGAGAAAAAAATATAAAATTGAATTTTGATATTTTTCTTACATAGCAGTTTCTCAATTTGCTATTAAATATTGATCTCTCAAATTTTGGTTTTATCCATATTACTAATCTAGAGATATTTCAAGCTACGTTTCTGCTTAGGTTCTGTTTGCTGACTCCTTACAATCCAGCTTCCATTCTTGTTGCCTGAGTAATTGTTACTATCCTATTATCCCACTTAAAATCCTTTGGAAGTTCCCTGTCAACGACAGAAATGGATGAACTCTTAGTAGGTATACTGCATAAGGGTTTCTGCATGGGCCCTGACTTCCTACCCAAACCCCTCCCTCTGAAAGTCCTGCCCCATCCTGGCTGATGACTGACAGCTCCCTGCCCTCCAGCAGATCGCTCCCTGCAGCCTGAATGCCCTGCCCCAGGTGCTGGAAAACAACTACTCTCCTTTTAGACTCAGCTCTAGTGACGCTTTCTGTAAAGGTTTTTGTTTTTTTTTCTGTCCCTGTATCCCCTCTTTGAAATGGGCCATGGACTTCTTC